GTCTACCTGGGTGTTAAGTCAATTGGACTTCCTGGTCGATGAAGATGGTATCTCGGATCTACTAAGCAGATTTACTTCGTTCGTAGCCAAGACCGAACCGCATGAAAGGCTTATGCTAACGCAATCTAGGACCGCAGTATCCCCAGATCGCCTTTCCGAAGATGCGAGTCTTCTCGCTGGTTATACCTTAGTCCTCTTGAGGTGTTTTCCGAGCCATAGTGATGATATTAAAATGCGTCTCTTCCAAGGAGATATCTCTACTATCAGCACAGCTAGTCCCGTGTCAACACCTTCCGTGAAGTATTTTTGGCAGGCAGCATCAAATACCAGCATATTTAAGACCATCACGCAGCCTAGGGCTCAACAGCAGCCTACGCCGATAGTTACGCTTCTACAACCAGACCCTGTACGTGATAGAGAATGGAGGACTATACTATTATTTTTAGAATTATATAACTTTCTTCTCCGGGTTACCGATGACGAAGATTTTCTACCTCCGGAAAATCAAATTCTATCACACCAGAGCCCGGCAACATCGAGAATACGCTCAAGTGGTCTGAGTCTGAATGAACTTAAACAACTCATTAATTTCCTCAAGAATCTCTCCTTCCCGCTCTATTATAACCTCGCGGACATTATGCCATCTTCCTCAAGGCCAACTCGGCTGAATAGTCTCATGGGGATTAGTTCTGGAAAGGCGAGCACTCAAGAGGAGGAGCCCAAGGATACTCAGTCATCATTTGCCGGTATAATTGGGATGGATGTTTTGAGCCTGAGAGCTGCATCCACAGCAACAATGCGTTCATTGTACGAAAGAGATTCTCGTCGGCGTTTCCTTCCTGCAGACTTTTGGTTGATGACCTCAAAATTCGACATGGATGTGTTTATATCAGCTGTCGTTTTGGAAGAGCAGCAAAAAGATCAGATGGCTGAAGATGAAGACGATTCGGATGACTCAGACGGAGATGCACTCGACAGCTTCCATACATTTACAGGGCAGCGCCTTTCACGAGCGGCCCAGATCGAGAGACGTCGTCGTTTACGAAGGGTCCAACGGGAACAACTACTAGCCCAGGTTGGCCCTAAGCTCGAAATTCTTCGAAACATGCCATTTGTTATCCCATTTGAGGTCAGGGTCCAGATATTCCGCCAATTCGTATATCTTGACAAAGCAAAACGTAGAGGTGGTCATGTCGACCCCGATCGATGGCGCTTATCAGTTATTTCAGCAGAAGGTGGGCTCGGCGGCGCTACTGCTAGAGGCAGAGACATCCTCGGTCGCCACTCGGCTAGGGTCAAACGTGGGCAAGTATTCGATGATGCATATGAACAGTTCTACCCTCTTGGAGATGGGTTGAAGGAGCCTATTCAAATAACATTTGTGGACCAGTTCAATCAGCCTGAAGCCGGTATTGACGGCGGCGGTGTCACAAAGGAATTTTTGATCAGCATCACTGACGAGGCTTTTAACCCTAGCTCTGGCCGTGGCCTCTTCGCAACCAACAGTCAAAATTTACTGTACCCGAATCCGAGTACATTTGACAATCAAGCAGAAAAGCTTCGTAGATATGGATATACAGAAAGTGATATGGGATGGAAAGAGGCTATGATCAACCTTGCCAAACGTTATGAATTCCTTGGTCGGATAGTAGGAAAGTGTATGTACGAAGGCATACTTATCGACAAGGCTTTTGCTGGCTTCTTTCTTCTTAAGTGGTCAGCATCAGGACAGGGATCACTAAATGATTACCGTGCCAACCTAAACGACCTACGAGATCTAGATCCTGAGCTTTATCAAGGGCTAATTAGCCTCAAAAACTATTCCGGCAAGGTGGTTGACCTTGCATTAGACTTTACTATCACAGACCAAGTCACGACAGCGGATGGAAACACGCTCACTATTACGCGTCCCCTCTGCAAAAACGGTGAGAATATCCCCGTCACAAATACAAACCGTCCTCTTTACATTTCCTATGTCGTAAACCACCGGCTCGTAGCACAACCCTATCGGCAAACCAGGGCTTTCCTCAAGGGTCTAGGATCGATCATCAATCCCGCATGGCTATCCATGTTTAATCAATCGGAGCTTCAACGGCTTGTTGGAGGAGACAGCTCGGAGATCGATGTTGAGGATCTCCGACGTAATACGCAATATTCTGGTCTCTACACTGTGGGTGATGATGGAATGGAACACCCAACCGTGCGGATGTTCTGGGAAGTGATGCGCGAGTTTCAGGATGCCCAAAGACGAGAGGTGTTAAAGTACGTAACATCGACACCGAGAGCACCGCTGCTAGGCTTCTCGCAGCTGAGTCCCCATTTTAGCATCAGAGATGGAGGCACCGATGAGGAAAGATTACCAAGTACGAGTACCTGCGTTAATCTCCTGAAACTACCACGTTATAGTTCAAAGGAGACTCTTAGAAGCAAGCTACTCTACGCCATCCAATCTGGGGCTGGCTTTGATTTAAGTTAATCAGATGTTAAGATATTGGTCAAGTTAGCAGCCTCGCGGCGCTTAAGCAAGACGTAATAGTTGGCCCCGTATTCTTCGCAAAACTGCTAGCTAGAATAAATAGTTTAACCGTGCGCAAAATAAAATAACTCAATCACCAATAGCTAGGCTGTCTCTCGAGTGATGGTGCTCCTTGAGATATATCCCCGTATCGTAACCTTCCCCAGATGTCATTCGATCCCATTCAGAACAGGACGCCTGGAATCAGTCGTCCGACTAGCTATATACCGGCTCATAAGGTCGATATGTTAGCTCTATCGTCTTACATGATGTCTAAAGAATGCCTATACAGGATAAAGGGGTGTGATCACGCCGTATAACAATTTAGGCGTATCATATGGCGAAGGTATTCATCGTCGAATGAGAGCAACCCTTACCCCCCCATATGCATAGGATCAAAGGATTATAAATCTGCTATATGGTGTAGACCCCGCTCCTTAACGCCCATTCAGCCGCTACAGGGTGGTTTTTGTTTCTAACTAGGCAGTCATATCAATGCTGTAATCTATTATGATAATTTTGGGGAGACGCCATGAAACTCGCGAGTCCTTTATCGGCAGTATAACCAACGTATTTTGTACGTTAGTCACAATTCATTATGACGACCTTGATAATCGGCGCCGGATGCTTCGGGGCGTCGACGGCACGCTTCTTAAAAGAAGTGGACCCCGGTGCGGAGGTCATCTTACTCGATTCGGCACCATTTCCAGACCCGGCTGCGGCTGCGCACGATTTAAATAAAATCATCAGAGCCGAGTACGATGACCCGATGTACATGAAACTAGCGCTCGAGGCGAAGGACGCGTGGTCGCGCGCGGATGACGTCGTCACGCCTTTCTTCCATCAGACAGGAGCGCTTTGGTCTATAACCGCTGCTAGAACCCGGAGGCTCATAGATAACTACGAGGCATTGCTAGGTCCGGGAAATGTCCCTCTCGAAGTAATCGGCTTGGATGAAACGCGTGCTCGTTTTCCGCTTCTCGGTAGTTGCCGCTTCGATGGTGAGGCGGAGCAGTGTATACTAAGTCCTGAAGCTGGATGGGCCGATGCAGCGAGGGCTTTACAAGCAACCATCAAAGCAGCCATTGACGGTGGTGTTCGGTATGAAATTGGTACGGCGGTGAAATTGGAGTTTGGTGCGGACGGTACGTGTACTGGTGTCTCGACGACAGATAACCGGACGTTCCACGCACAGCGTATCGTCTTATCCTCTGGAGCGTATACGCCGTGGCTCCTCGCAGAGAGCGCCCCAGAGAAACCGGAACTTCACGCTGGAAAACGAATGAAAGCGGCGGCGGTGTTGATGTGCTTATTCAAGGTCCCGAACGGCGAAACGGGATTAGATATGTTTCAAAATGCACCAGTTATTGTGCATCCCTACGGAGACTTTCCCGGTGTGTTGTTTTCAAGAAGGCTCACAAGTCACTAGACTATATTGATAATCGCGTTCTGTTATACTGACTACGATTACCCCATAGCTGAGTGTATACCACCCGGGAGTCACAGTGGTCCCGATCTAGCGAAGTGTACGCACGAATTCCCGTACACTCGTAATACCTACCACAAGGCATCGAAGCAGGAGATTTCAGTCCCGCCGCTCTCTAAAAGGGACCGCATGACGTGGACACGGGACCTTCCAGACGGACTGGAGACGAGATCTGCACAGGTTCGGGACATGTTCTTCGGGAACTCGGTGCAGGGTATGACTCCTGAGTCTTATAGACTTTGCTGGTAAGCTCCTAGTTTCTCGTCTCGTGACATTTACGCAGTTCGCGCTCGAAAACTGATGGATCTATGGCATTATAGGGACATAGCCACGCCAGACGAGGATTGGATCATCTCGCCACATCCAGGATCGAAAAACCTGTATATTGCAGCAGGAGGTTCCTTCCATGGCTACAAATTTCTACCTATAATTGGGAAGTATGTAGTTCAAATGCTTCGTGGTGAACTATCCGAAGAGCATACCCGACGATGGGCCTGGGATCGAGATGGTAAGTTCACTTGTCCATGCATCTACCCCTATTTACTACCCCGATGAGGGTTACGCAAGGTATCCAAGCGCGACATATCTAGAAGCTTTTGATTTCGTCTTTAAATAGTTGAAGTTACTAAGTTTATTTTTCTAGTCGTTCCTATTGTTACCCCTTATACCCCCCGCGGTGATTTACGAGATGTACCTGGGTACTACGAGTAAGGCTACGCGAGCAGGAACACGGAATTAGTTTGAGGATGGCGGCTGTTGGGAGCGTGTTTCTCTCATAAAATAATTAGCATGACCTGTAGAAGATATGGCTCATAATGATATATGATAAGTCGAATGTCCAATCTGCTCTCATTCTCTATCTAATAACGAGGGTTAAGCATACGAAGATAGGTCACTCTTGAATATTTTGTTTCCAGTTTGAGAGCTTTTATAGTGGCATACGCCCCTGGCCAAAGAATAAAAGAAATAACAGTATTGAATCATCCATCGAGCAAAGCAGCTCCTATAGTCTAGTGGTTAGGACGTCGGATTTTGATTCCGAAAACATTGGTTCAATTCCAGTTAGAAGCTTCAAAATATTTCTTTTCATGTCTTTTTCCTTCTCCAATCCTACCTAGATGAGAACTTTTCGTGCCGTCTTATAATGAGGGTATCGTGATTTGAGTGGGGATGGTGTATATCGACCCCTAATTACTGAATTGTGGTGATTCACTGAGCTAGGAATAATATACTAAAATAGTGTGGTTAATAGGTAGTTTAGCATCACCTCTGCTGTTTTTGTTGTTTTATTCCAGGAAAAAATAAAGTCCTTTCTATATTATATGCTGGTGCTGGGTCTCTTACGCTACAAGGTTATCAACTCCCCCCTTTTCCCACATAAAACAGATCGATCATATTGGGATACGTGCAAAGACGATGGATGTAGGTATGTGTATAAACGCTAGGGTCGCTACGCATACTGTAATGACCTAATAATTGAGTACTTTGGGATATGATTGAAGACTATGATCCCTTTATCTATAATTCTTATGTCTTTTAATGATCTTTAATTCTAGTCCTCTTCTTCAAATAGTGTACCGGAACTCAGCAAGACCATCAATAATCTTTTTACCTTCATCCGCGCGCTTGTTTTCCCATTTCAGGACCACTATGGATACACAGGCGGCGACAACAGCGGCGACGCAAATCGCCATGACAGCTATTATACCAGGTATATAATCAGGGGCATCCTGTATGTATATTAGCAAAAATATCCTAAAACTCGGAGACTTCCGACGAACCTGTTGGCGAAAAACCAGAGATGAATAGATGCCGCCAAGACCACTGAGAGTGATCAAGACTGCGGTGGCACAGGCGCGCTTAGCATCGCCGCGTAGATTGTTTGCTTGCCAGGCAAGAGTAGTTACTACGAGTCCATTTACCCCAGCCTCGCCGAGGAACGTCCCGATATATCTCGGAACTGGCTGCTTGAGGAAACCAGTCATGCATAGGCCGACGATTGCGACAAGACCCTGTGCAATAACAAACGGCCCCCGTAGACGCATCTTATCAGCAAGCCATGACACAAACATTCCTTCCACGACTGAGAATAGAGCTGGCGGGGCCGACAGGACGAATGCGAGTTCTTGAGAATATCCCATTCCGTTGCGTAGAATGAGAGGTAGGAAAAAGAGAAAGGCATAGACGCCTACAGCACCGGCTGAGTACATCAGCGAGAACGACCATACTTTCCAATCTGTGATCGTCTCAACGAAGATAGCCCAGGTCACCTTTTGGCGCTCCTCAGACCCACGGTCTTCCGCAAGACGGGCTTTGACGAACGCTGCTTCTTCTGCGGTGAGGAACTTATTTCGGTGTGAATCCGGAAAATCCACAATAATAAACCAAGCAACGATGGCCGCGACACATGTAATGACGCCTTCAATTATATAGATCCATCTCCAGCCCTTGTAAGCGGTATGTGTTTTAGAGATCTGTATTAAGCCTAGGGCAAGAATATTCGCGAACGCGGATAGTGCAGAACCCGTCATGAAGAACGTCGCGAGCCGCTTCTGGACCTCGTATCGCCTATACCAGGAAGAGATCAGGTAAACGCATCCGGGGTAGAACCCGGCTTCGAAAACGCCGAGGAAGGATCGCAAGACAGCCAACGCCACCCAGTTGTTTAGAAACCCAATGCCCATCGATACTAGGCCCCAAGCGAAGACGATGAGCGCAAGCCAATTCGCGGCGCCGACCCGGTGGATGATCATATTGCTTGGCAATTCGAAGATCATGTAGCCGATGAAGAAGACGAGAAGCGCGACAGAAGCGCGACTCCCGACGTTTAGTCCGACGTCTTCGTCGAGACCGGAGATACGCGCTACGGAGATGTTGCTTCTGTCTACCATGGCTATGGTGTACAGCGCGCCGAGGATAGGTAGTAGTCGGATATCGATTTTACGAAGGACCCTCTTCTCGAACTTGGAGTCGTGGGCAACGCCATCCGGGGGCGACGGCGCGATGGAGTTTCCATTATCACACTTCTCGTGTAGCGAGACCTCGGCTTCCTTTTCGTCCATCGTTGAAAAACTAGAATAGCCAGGCCACCTGGAAGGAAGCCTCCTAAACAGAGGTTCTGGTCACTCCTGGTCTTTTATTATGATTCACCGGGTCCTCGTTAGTTCGGGGCTTTGGAGGAATGTGGAGGGACTGTGGGGTAAAAGCTGGGGTAAAGGGGGGGATGCTGGTCGATATCTTGGTCACGATCTTCCGGCGAGTGGCTGTTCTGGGTATGCCGCGAGCGAGCTAGCATTCCACGATTCCCCAAGCGAGCTGGAATTCCGCGGCTAGAGGGGACGGCAAACACATATGGCCTGATTTTAACGTTGATACTATCAAGAGGGTCGGTTCACCTCCTATAGTCAAAGTAATCTTATACTAGACTAGATTTTGAGAAATACGTACCAATGAGATATAGTAAGAAGCCACATACAATTATATCTTAGAGTAAGAAGTAATCGAATGAATCATATTATTGAATTCATTGCTTTTCTATCTTCATGTACTCTGTGTCAATAAGTATAATTCCAATTTCCAGACATTATCCCAGTGATCACATTACTTTCTTGACATAAATTGAGACCCCCTATATTGTTCAGTTAGACACCCAGTAGAGGTAGGTCTCTTGCGGCTGGAACCCTTTATATGGATGGTTAGTATAGCCTTATCTACCTACCTACCTCGGTACTTATCAATATTGTCCGTTGTATAAAAAGTAGTAAAGTATAGAATATACATGTAATTTATTGGTAGAAATAGTCGGAACTTCGATGACTAGGACAGGGGATGGACTTAGTATTTCATGAACCACAGGTGGCGAACTTAATCGTATTGATAAATGAGATATGAGATATGGATATCACTTCTAATTTCGGGATTGGGAAATTAAAAAAGTAACTAAGAAGTGATGAAAGTATTGATAGAATAGAGGTAGAGAGAAGAAAGAATTCCTCAATTTATCCGATACTGTTGTGGGTGGGTTGAATCGCTATTCGTTCCGAATGTCTGAGCAGAAGAAAGGATGGGAGGAGGTGGCTTGCTACTACCGACGTAGGTATCCGAGCAGCAACCTTCAAAACTGATCGGCGTAGATATTCGGTCTGGGAGTTGAGTCCTTGCCTAAAGCCCATGTCGTACATGTAGGGCATCACTCAAGGCATAAGCTATCATCGCATACTTATCTCCAATAACAAACTAGACATTCTCGCTGATGGTAGCGATATTTATGGATTGCTTTTGGCTAAGGGTAGGATAGAATATCTTAGTGATCCGGTTTCAAGTGAGGATTTGCCAATATAAAAAGGTTGTGTGGTCTGAAGGAACTACGTAGGATGGGCGAGATAAAAACGAAAGATTTCGATAAATGTGAAGTCATTGTTTAATTAACCTCTGCGCAACCTATCTGAAAACGGGCGAGTTTCTGGAGACATAAAAACGAGATTCCGTAGGCAACTCCGCAGATAGGTAGGTAGTCTATAGCAAACGGACATCCTCCATGGACATATGCACCTTGTCAATTGCACACCCTGTATTTTTTCGGTCCTAGCGACCGCTGATTTGACATGGTCTTATTCTATGTCTAACCGTAGACAAGCTTGAAGATGTCGTTGTGGACGTAGTACTGGGCATTGTCGGGGACGAGGTAGAAAGATTGGGTGTAGCTCATAGGTCGTTGCTCCTCGTCAACCTAAAGATATAGGTTAGGTACCAAGAATAAACGCGTTAGGTAGAGTAAAATAGACTTACCAAAAGCTGACCGGTCACGAGGACCAGAATGTGGCCAGGTGCAACACCAGGCTGGAGGTCTATGGTGGAAACCTGGTGCTTGATCTGCTGGAAAGGGAGGCTCTGCAGTATATGGTCAGTCTCTTGCCTGATCTACTCTATTTTGTTTATTGTTTAGATAATTACCTGGAGCTTCTCGATAATGCTAGGAGTGCCCTTGAAGGAGGAGGATTCGAAAGTAAGCATGGAAGCATCTCGCTATATAATCATTAGTTTATTCCACATCGACACGAGGATATGCACGATAATTAACATACGTAGAGAGTGGCTAAACCAGCTCGGTCCTGATCAAACTGGTTGTAGTAGTACTGAACGAACATAGCTAAAGAAGGTAGCAAGCGTTAGTTGAATTGACGAAGACGTTTGCGAGTCGCAAGGTATCCGACGCGTTACATACTCGCAACTTCTTCCGGATCTAATCATCTCGTTAGTAAATGAACTCGAAAATCCTCGTGCTTGACCAGATAGACTGGGCATGTGTTGGGCAGTAGCACGAGATGTTTCGCACAGGGCGCCACTTACTTTGAGCCATCTTGGAGGGGTAATAACTGATCAACCTGGTGGAAAATGTAAAAAAGAGATTACTAGAGTTCTCTTCACGAGAGATGGCGACTAACTTGGTAAGATTTGGGTTCCAAGATGATGATGATGTGCGGGAAGAAGGAAAAAGTAAATTTGATGTTGTTAAGTTGATGAGTTTACAAGATAGAGAAAAAGAAGTGAGGCCATTCAGGTCTGGAGGGGCATTTTAGAAGAGTCTCCACTTACTTTATGCGAGCTAAAATTGTTTGGACATCTTACGCCGCCTCACATTGGTTAACACCCAATGCTCACTGCCCGGGCGGTGCCTGCTTGGGCTGGCGGGGTAATTTCACCTAAATTCTTAAATTTTTAGGTACCCAAGTACGATCTAATGCGAGAAGTGTTAGGCAACTAGGTATCGTTATCAGCTCATTATGTAACGTATCCAAGTTTCACTATTGGCTTCCAGAGGTATCGAGCTAACTCGAAGTCGATGTACCTTGCACAAATATGCGAATGCATAAATTACCCAATTAAATGGGTACCTATCTATGTATATGTATATATTATATTACATACGACAGGTTATGAGGAATTTGTGTGTCGGGATACCTAATACCTATATGTGGGTCGCTCTTTACCGTGACGTCTAGAATGTTACCTTGTTGCTCCCAAGCAGCCAAAGCTAGAAGCCCCCGGGAAACCGCAACAGGGTAGAAATG